AAAGAGAATTACAGGCCAATTTCAATCATGAACATCGACACAAAAATTCTCAACAAAATCCTGGCAAACCGATTCCAAGAACACATTAGAAAAATTATCCATTATGATCAAGTAGGCTTCATTCCAGAGATGCAGGACTGGTTCAACATACGCAAATCCATCAATGTAATCCATCATATAAATAAACTGAAAGAAAAAAACCATATGATCATCTCATTAGATGCTGAAAAAGCATTTGACAAAATCCAACATCCCTTTATGATAAAGGCATTGGAGAGATTGGGGATACAAGGATCATACCTAAATATAATAAAAGCTATTTACAGCAAGCCAACAGGTAACATCAAACTGAATGGACAGAAACTCAAAGCCATTCCATTGAAATAAGGAAAAAGACAAGGCTGACCACTCTCCCCATACCTCTTCAATATAGGGCTAGAAGTTCTAGCAATAGCAATACAACGACATAAAGGGATCAAGGGGATTCGAATTGGAAAGGAAGAAGTTAAACTCTCGTTATTTGCAGATGATATGATAGTATACATGAGAGACCCCCAAAACTCTACCAAAGAACTCCTACAGCTTATAAACACCTTTAGTAATGTGGTAGGATACAAGATCAACTCCAAAAAATCAGTTGCCCTCCTATACACAAAGGATAAAGAAGCAGGGAGGAAAATCAGAGAAACTTCACCTTTCACGATAGCCACAAATAGCATAAAATACCTTGGGATGACTCTGACCAAGGAAGTGAAAGACCTATTTGACAAGAACTTTAAGTCTTTGAAGAAAGAAATTGAGGAGGATACCAGAAAATGGAAAGATCTCCCTTGCTCTTGGATTGGGAGGATCAACATAGTAAAAATGGCAATTCTACCAAGAGCAATCAATAGATTCAATGCAATCCCCATCAAAATCCCATCAAACTTCTTCACAGACCTTGAGAGAATAATAATTAATTTTATATGGAAAAACAAAAAACCCAGGATAGCCAAAACAATCTTATATAATAAAGGAACTTCTGGAGGTATAACCATAACTGACTTCAAACTCTATTACACAGCTACAGTTTTGAAAACAGCTTGGTACTGGCGTAAGAACAGAGAAGTCGACCTATGGAATTGAATAGAAGACCCAGATATTAACCCAACAACCTATGAACACTTGATTTTCGACAAGGGGGCTAAAGGTATGCAATGGAAGAAAGAAAGCATCTTTAACAAATGGTGCTGGCATAACTGGATGTCAACCTGTAGAAGAATGAAAATAGATCCATATCTATTAACATGCACAAAAATCAAGTCCAAATGGATTAAAGACCTCAACATTAATCTGACCACTTTGAACCAGACAGAAGAGAAAGTGGGAAGGAGTCTACAAGACATAGGCACAGGAGACCACTTCCTAGGTAGAACCCCAGTAGCACACACAATAAGAGAATCAATGAATAAATGGGACCTCCTGAAACTGAGAAGCTTCTGTAAAGCAAAGGACACCGTCAGTAAGACAAAAAGGCTACCTTCTGACTGGGAGAAGATCTTCACCAACCCCTCATCAGATTTGGTCTGATCTCCAAAATATAAATAGAACTCAAGAAACTAGACACTAAAACTCTAATTAACCCAATTAAAAAATGGGGTACTGAACTGAACAGAGAATTCTCAACAGAAGAACTTCGAATGGCCAAAAGACACTTAAGGTCATGCTCAACATTCTTAGTGATCAGGGAAATGCAAATCAAAACAACTATGAGATACCATTTTTCACCGGTCTGATTAGCTAAACTCAAAACACCAATGATAGCCTATGCTGGAGAGGATGTGGAGAGAGGGGAACTCTCATCCATTGCTGGTGGGAATGCAAACTTGTGCAGTCACTGTGGAAATCAGTGTGGCGGTTTCTCAGGAAACTGGGAGTCAACCTCCCTCAAGACCCAGAAATTCCATTCTTGGGAATATGCCCAAGAGATGCCTTATCATACCACAAAAGCATTTGTTTAACTATGTTCATAGCAGCACTATTTGTAATAGCCAGAACCTGGAAACAACCTAGGTGTCCCTCAATAGAAGAATGGTTAAAGAGGGTGTGGAACATATATACATTAGAATTTTACTCAGCGGTAAAAAACAATGACATCTTGAATTTTTGCATACAAATGGATGGACATAGAAAATGCTTTACTGAGTAAGGTAAGCCAGACCCAAAAAGCGGAATATGGTATGTATTCACGCATAAGTGGATTCTAGTCATAATTAAAGGTCTTTGAGCCTATTTTTCGTGATCCTAGAGAAGCTAAATAAGAAGATGAACCTGAAGAAAATCATGTAGTTATCCTCCTGGAGATTGGAAATAGACAAGAGTCCCAGGTAACCTCGGGTGCATGGGGGGGGTGGGAGGGTTGTTGGAAGGGAAGAGGGCTAGAGAGAAGGGAGTAGGGGAGGAATGGGGAATGCTCGGGGGACTGGGATGTGGGGGAGGGAGGAAGGATGGATATTGGATCAGGGAAGAATATATCTCAACTAAGGGAGTCACTTTAGGGTTCACAAGAGACTTGATTATAAATGGGATCCCACGTCCAAGGAGAGATCCCCAGATTGTTCTCTGGACAGAGGAGAGGGTGCCTGAACCGCCTTGTCCCATAACCATACTGATGAATATTTTGCTTATCACCATAGAACCTTCATCTGGCGATGGATGGAGATCGAGACAGAGACCCACATTGGAACACTGGACTTAACTCCCTAGGTCCAAACGAGAAGCAGAAGGAAAGAGAACCTGAGCAAAGAAGGCAAGACCAGAAGGAACCTTCATCCGACGATGGATGGCGATACAGACGGAGACCCACATTGGAGCACCGGACTGAGCCCCCCAAGGTCCAAATGAGGAACAGAAGGAGGAAGAACATGAAAAATGAAATCAGGACCGCGAGGGGTGCGATCACCCACTGATACAAGGGCACGGATCTAATGAGAGTTCACCTAGGCCAGTTGGACTGGGACTGAACGAGCACGTGATCCAACCAGATTCTCTGAATGTGGCCGGATTCTCTGAATGTGGCTGACCCGGAGTCTTTTTGAAAAGCCATTGACAATGACACTGGGACTTGTTTCCTCTGCATATACTGGATTTTTTGGGATCCAATCGGTTTGGATACTCACCTTCCTGGACCTGGAGGGAGCGGGGAGGAACTTGAACTACCCACAGGGCAGGAAACCCTGACTGCTCTTAGGGATGGAGAGGGAGGAGGAGAGGGAGTGGGGGCAGTGGGAGGGTGTTGGGAGGGGGGCGGAAATGGAAACTTTTATAATTTAATAAACTTTGAAAAAAAAAAAAAAGAAAAGACAATGGCATGGTTCCAAGAGCCATGTTAGGCCAAGTCTCTGTCTGTCTCTGTCTCTCCATCTCTGTATGCTTGTGTGTGTGTGTGTGTGTGTGTGTGTGTGAGAGAGAGAGAGAGAGAGAGAGAGAGAGAGAGAGAGAGAGAGAGAAAGAGAGTCTGATGTCCATGAATAAGTGTGTAAAGCCCTCAGCTATCGCTCCAATGCCATACCTGTTTGCTCCCTGCCACAGTAAGCATGGAGTAATCCTCTGAAATTCTAATCAAGCCCCCAACTAAATGTTTTCATTCACAGAAGTCACAATGGTCATGGTGACTCTTCACAGGAATAGACCAGTAACTAAAACAAAGACTTGGGGGGACGGATAGACAATGGATTTACCAAAACTAAGGACGTACAAAGAAGCCTCATGAAACCCAATCATTTATAAGCTAATTTAAATTTTTTTTTTTTAAAAGAAATTTGAACAGAAGTACTCTGCAGTAGTGGACAATACTATTCCTAGCACAGATGGGTTGTTAAAAGAAAACCTTGGAGAAATGAGGTTATCTCCCTGGGAGTTTTGGTCAGGGACTCTCAATACCATCCCAAACAATACAGTACTTTGCCATCACTCTAGGTTGTTTACCATAACTAGATCCTGTTGCTGAAGAAACCAAATACATTGGTGGCATTTAAAAAATAAATCACTCCTGAGATAACCAGGAAACTCTACCTATTGCCTATTTTTCATAGCATTGCAAGGTGTTATGCAGGCTTGTAGGGGAAGAAAGGACATCAGTGATGTTATATAGCTCTGTTTCTGACCTGCTAAGCAGGGTCTGTGCACTGTACAATAATATAATTCTATCTATATAAGTTGCTTCCTTGACTGGTCTTGAGATCTGATTCACACGAGGGCCATTGGAAACAAGACTAATTTCAAAACTAATCAAAACTAATGGCTAGGGAAGAATTAGACGATAGAGGAGAACCTATTGATGTTGTTCTTCTAATGGTCATGTTATCAAACTGCCTTATAAGTAGTTATGTTTATGTCCATTGTCTTGACCTGGTCCCAACTTTTGCCAGAGAAGCTTCTTATGTCAGTAGGTAGCTTTGCAACCATGTTCAAGCATACCTATCCTTATAACCACAGATAAGTGTAACTCTCACTGCTTGTCAAAGAAACTTCTTTCTGCAGGAGATAGAGAGCATTGTATTGATATACATAATGAAAATTCAGAAAATGAGTGACTGTGGTATACCTAATCCCAAGTGATATATATGAGTACAACCCCTAAAGCTAAGTGAAAATTTTGGAAGAGAGGATGGAAACATTATACTTGACAGTGGCTAACAATATCTGTTAAGAGACTATGACCCATATAAGGAAATATACCTAAGAATTATCGGCAACCTACTTTCCTTAACAAGATCACATTGACAACCCATGTTGACAAGCCAAAACAAGCAGAAGTAAAGCTATAAGGTCACACCTCTTACAACTTATTATTTCTCATATGTATATATGTGTAATGATAAAATTAAAGAAGAGATTATGAATTTGGAAGGAAGAGAGGAGATGGAAGAAATGAAAGGGAGAGAGTAATGTAAATACAACATTCATGTATGAAATTCTCAAAAATACTACTATTAAAAAAGAATAAAAATAAAACATACCGAAGTCCTGTTTTTACGCTTCCTCTCTCTGGTGGCTTTTCCTTTATTATTGCTAGTAAAATAATGCAAGGTTCCATATTCCATCAGTGCTGCAAACACAAAAATAAAACAAACAGAGACAAAAAGATCCATTGCTGTCACATAAGAAACCTTAGGTAAAGATTTCCTGGCAATTGTACTGAGGGTTGTCATAGTCAAGACCGTAGTGATACCTGTGAAGAAAGGGAAAAATAATAGTTGATTACAAGTAATTTAGCAGAACATTTTTATTCTTTTCTTCTAATTTAACAATAATGTCAGCTGAAATAAACAATGGAAACAAAAGAATATGATTGCCAGAAAGAATTACTAGTAACCATGGCTACAATATATTCACTGTGTTCTTTGTGTAGGAAATTTAATGATTCAAATTACTATGGATTTTAGGTTGGCTCCTGATATTCACTCTTCCCTTCCTCCATGGTTAAAAAAAATAAACATTTTTAGTTGACAGAAGGTTTTCTTTTTTCTTTCCTTTTTTGACTTTCCGAGACAGGGTTTCTCTGTAGTTTTGGAGCCTGTCCTAGAACTTGCTGGCCTCGAACTCAAAGATCTGCCTGTCTTTGCCTTTTCCTAGTGCTGGGATTAAAGCATGTGTCACCACTGCCGGGCTGACAGGAGGTTTTCTGAAAGTACAATTTCATTGAGCACTTCTTTGGCAGAGTGTGGCCAGAAGGTAAGATTGTACCATGGGAACTAAGCCAAGAATTAAAGTCTAGAAGACACCACAATGTAAGAGATTCCTTGCTTTATTCCCTCTTTATTCTACTGTAATACCATAACAGAAGCCAGAAGACACCTTAAATGATGAGATGACTATGAAAATTCAAGTCAAGAACCACACACACACACTCTACACAGCCAAGAACCATATGTCTCTGAATTCCTCTCCCAATGGAATACGACATCACAGTGAACACTTCTGAACCTGTGCATTAGAAACAAGTACTTTTCAAATTACTTGAAGCAACAGTTATTGGAGGGTTTTGCTATTCTGTTTATTTTTTGTTTGCCTTACTCGGTATGAGTAACCTATACTAATGTATTAATGTAGTAGTTTCTTTTGTGATAATTTGAACTTAATTTAAAAACTTCTAATTTAAGAATGCAGAATTATAACAATATATATTTTGCATTTCAAATACACTGAATGAATTTTTATATTTCTAAATATTTAGTATGTGCAATTCTGATACATGTAAGAGCCAAGTCCATGTGCCCATCTTTGGACTCTTACTCTTTATATGACAGTCTTCTTATTGTTCTTACCACTGTTAGTCTTAAGTCATCTAAATGAGAAGAAGCTCTGTATTTTTTTGTGTTGAAATCACAGCCATTTTCATTCTACAAATATGCTTATTTAAGGGTTTTGTGTTTGAGTGTTTTGCTTGTATATTTGTATGTGTGACACATGGATTGGAACCCCTGGAACTATAGTTATAGATGGTTGTGAGTCACCATGTGTGCACTGGAAATCAAACCTGGCTGCTTACAAGAGCAGCATGTGCTCCAAACCACCAATTTAACTCTTCAGCTACCCCCAACTCCAATCTTATTCTTACTGCCACAACCATAGCTCTGTGAATTGAAAGTTTAACTTTCTTAAATATGCTAAGTATAATGCTAAATAAATATTTCTTTGTAAATATGAATATAATAGCAAGATCTTTAATTCAAAAAATCAGTATAAATGGCTACAAATAATCTTTATTATAGGGGGAGCAATGGGAATCATTTTTTCTCAAATGTCCCTAGAACATGCTGAAATAATTCTCAGACAATCTCATCAATTTTCTCTCATGGATAATTAGCATTAGAAAGAATATGATAGAAATGTAGTAGGTTTTGAAGACTGGAGGTAAATTTAGATTCAATTCTAAATCTCCACTTCTCACTCTTCACTTATTTGCTCTGTAATTTTAAGAAAAACAGGATAATGATTTATCCTTATGCCAATAGATTAGTATCATCAGTATCCCCATTTCCTAAGCTATAATTTTATTATAATACAAATCAGTTTCAATAAGTCTTTTTAATGAAAAACATATAATATTTGAAAGAATTATGATAAATAAAATTTAGATATATAGATTTTGTTGTCTCACTTTCTCTATATCTATGATAAGACCCCCTGAATTGTTTCTGATACTTAATGTTTCTGGATTTACTACTGACCCATTTATGTTATTTTAAATTTACTATGTTATATGAGTGAACTTGTTTTCCAGCTATCACAGAAACCACAGGAAAAGCTATTAATTATTAAAAATAAAACTGATTTAACTTTACATTTTTAAGATAAAATTATAATTACAATGTGATTGAATTTTTACCCTGAATATGAATCAATTGATTATTAAGCTTTTCTTACACAATATTGTTTGCAATCTATAGATTGTCACTTTCTTAAAGCATGCATAAAATCAGCCATTTATTTGCTTATATATTATGATGACTATGGTACACTATTATAGAAACATTGTCATCAACTTTTTAAAGGATGAAGCAGAAATTGCTCTTGTAATCATTGGCATTGTACAAGAAACTCAAAAAGGAACACATTAATTCCACCGGTTTTGATGTTTTAGAAAGCAGGAAGCTCATGTTCTATCCAGATATCTGTCTTTTGTAACAGCTGGTCATCAATTTTCAATTCCAGTATTAGCCAGTAAATTAAATGCTGATGATTTTTGATCCTGCTAAAACATAGTCAACATTTGTTATAATGCAATTAAAATATTTATTAAATGAGATTCAGATGTTTTCCCTTCTCTGCTTTTTATGTGTTAACTCTTATACACACACACACATACACACGCATACGTAAGTAAATATGTGTGTAAATATCCTGTTTACAGGAAAAATATGAGTGTTCTAATTCCAAGTTCTTTATTATGTAAAGTCCTATACTATTTGAAGTCCTTTCAATTTTGTATAATACTGATTTTTTATCTGTTATTACCTCATTATAGCCTAGATGATATTTCTATAATAAGCATCAATGAAGTTTTATTTATTATTTTTTAAGAGCTTGTAATATAGCAGAATAGTCTTACCCAGTGATGTTCTGGCTGGTACTGCATCTTTATTGATCCAAAAGGAAACCCAAGAAAGAACAACTGTCAGAATGCATGGGATATAGGTCTGAATCGTGAAGTAGCCCATCCGCCTGCTCAGGTCAAAGAAAATTGTCATGATAATATAATCTCCTATAAGAAATAGATATGTTTGACAGTGAGTAAAACATACAAAAATCTACATTCTGCTTTCTGTACCTAAGTGACAATGACATTCACGGCCAGCTCCTATTTCATCCTTACCAGAAATTGTGTGAGAGATTTCAGTAGAATTTCGTAATCCTACAAATGCAAACTGGTATAACCTCCAGTACTTAGGATCAGCCACTTCCACAGAGGGCTTTTTCCACTTGTACTCAATTTCGTTTTTAGGATATCCATCTAGAGAAAAAAATGGCAGGAAAATATATGTAGTTTAGGAAATTTAAATTATTTTAAATTATTATTTAAATCATCGCAATACCAACACCATCCAAACAATGACTATGTGTAATTCTTCTCTCATTCAATACTATAAAGTTTGTCAAATATAAAAAAATACTACCTGAAGTGTGTGTGTGTGTGTGTGTGTGTGTGTGTGTGTGGTATGTGTGTGCTTTAAAGAATTTTATAACAGTTATGATGATTACAAGTATGAGTTTTGTTTTGGCACCGAGTAATTTGAGAGAGAGGGAAGTTTGATGTTGTCCTACTGTCCTTATTCATAAATCTCAGATTGTTTCTATTATTATTTACCTGGAACTTGGGAACTATCTCAGACTCTCATGTGCTAGAATTACTGTGACCTGGTAGTTACTATTTAATCCCCAAAATATTGTCAAAATCAACACAGGAATTCAACGTGTTTTTAAAATATTCTCATATCTGGGTTGATTGTAGGCCTGCCTTTCTGCTTATAATTTTTTATGTGAATTCCAGTGGCTAAAATATTTTCCTATTTGTAATCATTTATAAAAACAAATGCCTTTTCCTCAACAAATTTTTGAAACTTACTTTAAAATCATGTAAAGAGAGATATTGCATCAGGAAGATAGATATAGTTTGAACAAGTTTTTTAGTCTAGCTGTGTAAAATCATTTGAATGCAAACCTAAATTCATAGCTCATTTGAGTATTCAGAATGAGAAGAAGGAATGTTTGTTTACTTTCTCTATTCCAGTTTATTTGTTTTATTTTATTTATTTATTTATTTTGCTATTCTTTAGAAATCTATTTGCTTTCCAAGAAGAGACAGAATGGGTGTGACTCAAGTGGGACTGGAGGTGGAAAGCACTTAGGAGGACTTGAGGGAATGGGAATTGTAATTAGAATGCACTGCATAAAAATCTATTTTCAACAAAGCAAAATAGAAAACTAAAGTAAAAGGCATTGAAATAAAACTGACTTATAAAGATTATGTTGCAATATGTATATTTACTGAAAACTTACTTTCAATTTTTTAATTTAAAATCAATAAACAAATGTAGTTTTAAATTTAAAAGTGGTATAGCATTAAAAACATTTCTAAGATTATATTTTATTTCATTTTGTAAGCTGATAAAGTAATTTTAAGCCCAAACTTATAGGATTATCATTTCTTTCACTTACAGCTTGAAAATTCCAGTGGACAGGAATGTTCATCCATCGGAAAGTTATGAAGTTGAAGATAGCATTCTGCATTAATTGTTAATCTATTTAGAAGAAAAAAAATAAGTATTCCACAAAGCAGAGTTGTTAAGTCATCAAAAACTACTTATCTGATTTTAAAACATCATTTCAACATCTTGTAATGGACTATTGTCTAACAGAAAATAAAGATAACCTTAAATTTAATGCTAAATATTACATCACACACTACCGAGTATGAAATTCAAACACTTCTTCAGTCAACTAAGTACCTACTTTGCCTATGTCAATCTCTGCAATTGCATAAAAATAAAGCTTTTGCAACTTCATAAATTATATGTTCATAATATATATAGTATATATATGCACAAATAATATGTTCAAAGACACACAAAAAGTAATACATTATACAAGGCCATGCATAATTTTTTCTCTGAATTTCACATGATCATTTTCAAGGATGACACCATGAAACATGCCAAAGTAGAAATAGAAAATGCTGCAAGGCCTCAATCCTATATACAAAGTCGTACAGACAATAAAGAATGGCTGGGCAAATGAGTGGTCTTCTTCCCAGAGAACAGTACACTCATTGGTTGTCCATGCCAAGTGGTTATCTCTAAAAATGTATATAACACTATATATATTGAGCATGCTATATTTAAAAAGTATATTTAATGCATATCTATATACACATATACATAGAGATATACACAAATATATGTATGCAATAACAATCAGTAAAGTAAGAGGCCAAGCATTTGAAGGAGAACTGGGAAACTTAGATAGAAAGGTTTGGAGAGAGTATAGGAAAGGGAGAAATGTAACTTTAAATAAAATTTAAAAAGTAAAAACAAAGTAGCAATTTTTAATAAGCCTATATTTTGAAGGGGATATATAAGATAGATTTGAACTCAAGGATCAGTCATTTTATGGTGATGTTTCACAACAGTTCTAAAAGTTAGAATAATGAATTACAAGGGAAAAAAATCACAGAAATTTCCATTATACACTTATAAATATTAACCATGGCTGAGTAGAATCAGGATTTAAACACTCACTGATCTTGCAGAGGACCTGTTTTGGTTCCCAGTACCCACAGAGTGACTCACAACCATCTGTGACTCCAATTTCAGGGGATCCAAGATTCTCTTCTGGTTTTCACAAGGTATTTATGTAGTAAAAAAAGCAAACAAAATTTATATACATACAAAATAAAATATTTAAAGCATCGTCAAATAAATAAATGAATAAAAATTAAAATATGAGTCAAAACTTTTTCTGCTTCCAAATAGGAAGTGCAAATATTTTTGCCATTCTTTCATTTGATAGTAACTTTGAATATAAAAATGTATCACCAAAATAGTGCAGCATTTTAGATTTTAGCAAATGAAAGTGGCCTTTGTGCTGGTGTGAAGAAGGCTATTCAGGAGCTGAAAATTCAAGTGCATATTGTTATGAATATTACCGTAGAGTGTATAGAACTCTTCCATCACTCCAAATCCGCAGCAGGCGATTAGGTGTTGTTATCCAATGTGCATCGGATTTTCTTGAGTTTCTGAAGAAAGTGTCTGGAATCCAAATTTTCCCCACCATGTTGCTGTTAAGCACAAGCACTTTCATGCTGCTATTGAACTTTAAACGGCTGTCAAACCAGGTTTGGGCAAAAATTATATCTATGGTGTACTCCTACAAAATTGAAATATAATGACATTAATAATGCTATCATTTTAGATGTTTTCCTTAGAAATTAAATTTTTTACAGTGCAAATTTCCTATAAATTGATAGCACTTAGATTCATTCTTTGGAAGAAAATAATTTTGATATTTTCAACTTCTTTGCAAATTATTTCAAGTGATTCATATAAAGCAAAATTCATAAATTCTAGATGCCTTCTCTGGCCTTAACCTTTTATGCTTTTTTCAGTATCATAATTCATCAATTTCAGCAATTAATAACTATCTTATTATTAGCCTTGATAAATTTGGTTATATTTACACTATCCCTCCATAAGCATGTCCAGATTCAAGGGGTAAATATCCATCAAATTACCTAAAATCACTAAAAATGTCTTTAGTCTGAGCATTAGATTCCCATCATTTCAAGACAGCAACATTAAATGTCTGGACAGTAGTGTTTAGTGTCTCATATTGACCACAACAGAACCAGCTAAACAATTACAACATGCTAAATATCACAATAATCATTCTGAATGCTATCCTGTTGTTAAAACTTTCCAACACTTTGTGAAGCAAATGTCACAATAATAAATGTTTTCCAAAAATATCAAATGATGAAAGGTAAAGAACCTTCCCCATATCAGAGTTCATAATTTCTGATGGACATTTACAAAGCTAAACCTTGTGTTCATATTCCAGTTCTCATAGCAAGGACCTATGTCTCAACACTCTGTTCACAGAAAGGAGAAAGTCGTGCAGTTAAGAAAGAGCCCTGAGTTCAAGTATTACCCATGTCTGTGTCCTGACAAAATGCCTACAATCTTATTATAAGCATTAAAACTTTCTACAAAACTTAAGGGAAGAACAATAATATGTGGTATAGAATAAAGGAACTGAAAAAACTTATCATCTCTGTGTGACTCTTTGCTTGCATGTGTACACAACTTAGACATTAAAAGAGGAAGGAAAATGCTTAAAATTATGAAGTACTATATTGGCTACATGTAGCAGGGAAGATTGAGTTGTCTTTCTTGATGTGATATTTGCAATTGGTCAATTGGCTTGAAAGGAAATATTTACCATAAGAAATGGAAGCATGACTGTGAGTTTGGTTAATGAATATTTAATATCTATTTTTTAAGCCAGGGAGATTAATGAGGAAACAGTCTGGGATTCAACTTATCAGTAGGAAAGTTGGATCAAATCCTAGATTTCTGCAAGAATATTTATAATTTGGTTACTGGAATATAGAGATAAATTGAGAGGGAAGCTTCATTTTATCGCACACTTGTGGCTTAGATTCTTAATCATTTAATGAATATTATCAGTGGCATGCTACATAATCTCTATATTTGTTTACTAAAGCTAATGTTACTGACCTGACTGATTCCTTGAATCTTATGGAAAATACATGGACATATATTATCTTTAACACCTTTTCTCACTTCCTTGTCAGGACCAATGGCATTTAATAAATGTTGGAGATAAGTGAGATTTATTTAAATGTTCTTTCCACTTACTCAAATGATTAGCTCCTTTAAGTCCAACACTGACTTTGCCAATGATGGAAAGTTGTTTTGTAACAATAAATATGAACAGAAAGAAGGGCCTGTACAGGTTGGAAAGAGAATATAACCAATGCTGTTTAGCTGAGGTCAAATCATATATTTGAATTGGGGAAATATAGCAGAAATTTCATAAGAAACGAGACAGGATTGTGGTCTTGGGAAAAATGAACATTGGCTAGTATAAAGAGCATCATGACACTTAAGCATACTTAATTTCAAGTTCCTATGATATCATCAGAAGTAGCCTTTGAGAATTACATTTCCAGTAATAGAACTTTGCAAACATCATAAACACCATTCAGCAGCTGAAGGAATGCATTAATTCCAAAGTTGGGCCACAAATCCAGATCTTTCTAACTGCACAGCCATATGTTCTGCACAGAAATGTGTTTTATAATACATAATTCTAATGTGCACACAGCTGTTGGAGGGATTATGATTTCTAACAGGTCAGATTTCCCTAAAGATAAAATGTTAAAGAAAAGTAAAAGGATCTACTCACAATTAATATGATCAAAAGAAAGAAATGCAGAGCACATTTCTTGATAAGCTGTCCTTCACAAAGCCTTGCAGGAGCTATAGTCCCAAGCCCTTTAAACTGTTAATCCTTAATAAATGCCTAGCTGAGATAAGAAGGTTATTAAAGTCTGTGCCATTTTATTTGTAATCAAAAAATCCAATTTTGTTTACTCATTCATAGTAGAGTAATTTCCAGAAAATGATCAAACTCTGTTCTTGTACTTCATGTTCCTATTTAAAGGTTATAATCATCTGCATTAAAATAAGAAAAAAAATTGAAATTGAACTTCTGTTGACTCAGAACAAGTACAATACCTTCTAGAAGAAACATTTTGAGAGAGGAACAGTACATTTAATACTTGAGGCTGACATGACATGAAAATTTTACTGTCTCCTTGAAATGTAACCAACAAAAGAAATAAATGTGAAAAGTGTGCTACTCTGATTTATAAGATAGTCAGTAAACCCATAAATGTATATTACTACAGTAACCAAAATTGCATATTGCTGCTATGTACCTCATCTCACACTTATAAGTACTGGTTAACGCAGTCTTGGAGGTGGGATTCTATTTGCTTTTGGAATAGAAAAAATACAAAAGTCATAACCCTCCTAAGCAATTGATACAGATGCAAAACTTTATTGTGTAGTTAGAGTGATCCTGATCTTGTCTGTCTACATTCATATTAATATTTACTCAAACTAACTGATCACGTGACTAAAATAAAATTCTAAATTAAACCATGGCCAGCAGTATACTAAAAAAAAGATAAATGCAGGCAGAGAGATGAACAGTGAACCCATATTATATGAGTGTTAGTAAACATTTCACAGATATCAAATATATTTTGCTAAATTATTGTAAGAACAAAAGCTTCTTGAGAATATCACAATAAGTAAAATATTTTGATGACCTTATTCTCTCAAATGTTCATGGAGGTCATATGACAATACAAGAAAGATAATCAATAAATCCCCATGAATCCTTGATTCAAATGGGAAACTTTTGGCTCTGGGGCCTGTTTATTTCTGTGAATGGAGCTTGGAATTATCATGCATATTAATTTGATAACTTGTTCAGCAAGCAATTTTTGACAGTTTAGTTAATGTAATCTTTCAATTTGTGTGCTTCAAGAGGACAACAGTGGAAGCCTCTTAGATATGCATCTGAGCTTACTAAAAACTTGAAATTGGATTAAAGTTGAGATAGGTATAGATAAAATGAAATAAACTGGTAGAGATTGTGTTCAGCTGGGAAAATTCAGAAAGACTTGATATAAGGTACATTCAGTCAGAAACTTGAACAATACAAGGACTGTGATTAACAAATGGGTCACAAGACTCTAAAACGCAGAACCTCTTAAGATGGTGAAGGAGTGTAAACCTCACATAACAAAGGAGTGGTTTTGTTTTGGTGTGTCAGAGATGTACTTTCCTTGAATTCACAGAACATTTTATATCTGTAATCACTCTTGCCAACTTAATATAAAATTCTCAATTTTTCTGAGATATAAAAATAGCTATAAATACACATAATACAAAAATTGGGGTAAAAGAACCCAAAGTACTAATAAATCATTGTTGATTCTCTATATCATAATTAGTCATGTATTTACTATTAGATACAAATTTATGACCATTTGCTTGTAATTTAAGTGTAAAACATAAAAATTAGTATGGTCACAGAACTCCTAATAAAAACCCATAATAAAAAAGATATGTACTTCCCTGGCCTTAGAGAGACTCTGACTCCACTGCAAGGCCAGCATCAACATGCATGTCCAGACACTAAGCACTCAGGTTTGCACAAAGCTGCGTCATGGTTTTGTATTTGATCAGCTTGTCCAGAGAAAGAGCAGATAGGCTAGAAGGGCAGGTGAAAGTGAAAATGGCCACTTATACGGAATGGGCTCCTGTGCTATCAGAAGTGTGATTAGTCTAAAATCTGCAGAGCAGACAGGAAGTTAGCGATTCAGGAGGCCAAGACTGTCCTTGAGGAACTGAATTTGTTCTCTTAAGTTCTCATGTGATTGTGTGACACTCAACCACATTATAGTAGCTAGCTTGATTTATTCAAAACTGTTGGTGTTAACATAAAAAAAAAACTTTCTGAAGCGGTCAGAGGTAGTATTGTGGACAAACAGCTGGTAACCTTAACCAAGGAAAAATAACTCAGAAATTCCCATCATGATGCCATCATAGGAATGGCTTAGTTTCCTGTGACTTTGGAACATGTAACAAAATTTATCACCTATCTATTTCCAGACAAAGGAAAATGGGTACTTTGTTGGTGGTCGGAAGAAATTTATCCTGTTTTCCAAGAGTGCTCATACTTGTTTTCATGTCCTTTCATGTCATCGTTTCAATTGGCTTTGTTTCATATTTCTCTATTAAATGGAAAAAATAAACTAAAGATTTATACTTACAGGTTTATGTTTGTATTTTCACTGTATAATAAGTTTTACCCAAATGATCATCAGTTCTGAAAGAATTGAGCAATCCTGAAGTGATGTTCAGAGATACTCAGAGAAATTCCCAGAAAAATAATGAAACCTGAAAAGCCATTAGGACCCATGTTTCTGTGTGTGAAAAACACTATTTGTAAGACATAAGTGTATTCATATGCACATTTAAATATTTAATTTCACAGAAGACTAAGTATAATTTTCCACAAAGCATTCTTATTTTATTTCTAGTGCCTATAATATTTTTTTTACAAAATAATTATTCTACATTTTCAATCTCCGTCTTTTTATGCTCACCTGATTTTTCTTGCCCAAATTATATTGCAGGACAAATATAAAGGCCTACCATGTTTTGGAAATTTTGATCATAGATGCCACATGTGTAACTTCACCATTACACTCCTTGTTCTTTTCTCCTTTATTTTCTTCCTTTCTCCCTCCTTTTTGAACTTTCACC